TTGGCCACTGCGGACAAGGCCCTGGAAGGCCCTCATTGCGCAGCGTTGCGGCTTGTCCGAAGTCGTGTATCCCAGACACCACTTCGGACATCGGCCATTTTCGCTCTCGTTGCGCAGCGTTGCGGCTTGTCCGAAGTGGGGGGTGGAATCACCCACTTCGGACATTGGCCTTTCCGACCATTTTCGCTCTCGTTGAGCAGCGCACGCAATGAAGGTTTTTAACATTCAATTAGTTCACCGGTCATTTTCGCTCTCGTTGCGCAGCGTTGCGGCTTGTCCGAAGTCGTGAATTCTATTCACCACTTCGGACATCGGCCAATTTTGGCGAGCGGTGACACCGAAAACGAAGCATCCAGGCTCTCAACCGGGTGCCCAATCGCGGTAACACTCATCGACTAGGACGTCGTGCGAAGACTTCAGCTGCTCGAATGGGAAGTGGAGGTTAGCGATCGTGTCGCTAACCTTCACTTCCAGTGGCAGTGGTTTGTACGAAAATGTCGTACAATTGAAGGACGTACTGCCCCCTGTTCAGAACCCCCTGCCTCTGCCCCGCTGCTCCCTCGGTGGCCTCTAACGGCGATTGACTCACGGAGTCAATTCCTGGAATTTTTTTTGTGTCACTTTTTGACACAACACTTCGAACTCTGCTAGGACGGCTTTACCGTCGCGCGAAGCTAGGGCGGGAAACAACCATCAATTTGAGAGGTGTGCCTGACTGCAGCAGGCCCCAGTTTTCGGTTCCACCAACGTGGAATTTGCAACAGGGCATGTGTTAGTTTTTGACACATGCTCGGGCAGAATTCCACAACGCATAGGCCACACCGCTGACGAAACACAAGCGACACTTGTGCTTTCTTGCTGTCCTGTTCTGGTGGCCAAACACTGCGTCATTTTGGCTCTCGTTGAGCAGCGTCCGAAGTCGTGAATTCTATTCACCACTTCGGACATCGTCTCGTTGCGCAGCGTTGCGACTTGTCCGAAGTCGTGTCTGGGAGACACCACTTCGGACAACCGGGAAGTTAGGCACTTTTTGCCGAACTTCCAATTGACCGAAAGCATCGGTCAATCGCCGCTCACCAGTTCCGGCAGTGTGCCGCTTTTTGGCACACTGCCGGTTCAGCTATGTCGGCCGCGACCTCCGACAGTTTCTCACTATTTGAGAAACTGCCAATTCCTTCCCGGAACTGGAAGTGTGTCACTTTTTAACACACTTCACGGTAAGCCCCAGGACGGGCTTTGTACGAAAATGTCGTACAATTAATTGAAGGACGGTATCCTTCAATTTGCTTCCAGTTCAGAACCCCATGCCCTTGATTGACTCACGGAGTGAGTCAATTCCTAGAAGTGGCCCGCTGGTATCCTCGGACCTTCAGCGTCCCTGCTCGAATGGGAATTGGAGGTTAGCGATCGTGTCGCTAACCTCCAATTCCTGGAAGTAGCCCGCTAGTATCCTCGGAATTTATTTTGTGCCACTTTTTAACACAAAACCTCGAACTCTGCAAGGACGGACCGTCGTGCGAAGCTAGGGCGGGGACACCCATCAATTTGAGAGGTGTGCCTGACTGCAGCAGGCCCCAGTTTTCGGTTCCACCAACGTGGAATTCGCAACAGGGCATGTGTTAGTTTTTGACACATGCTCGGGTAGAATTCCACAACGAAGTCATAGGCCGCATTTGCCCTCCTCGCTGCCTCCTCCCTGCTCCTCGCCATCACCGCCGAGACTGAGACACAACCGAGCTGAGGCAACACCATGCTGCTGACCATGCTGCTGAACCTCGGGGGTACCGGCGGAGGAGCTGCCGTGGTGCTGGGGACGCCGAGACACCTGAGACAACACAACCGAGCTGAGGCAACACTAGTGTCTCAGTGCTGCTGCTGAACCTCGGGGGTGCCCAACCGGCGGGGGAGCTGCCGTGGTGCTGGGGACGCCGAGACTGAGACAACACAACCGAGCTGAGACAACACTACAGGTCGCTGCTGTCCCGGAAAGTATTCACAATGTGAATACTTATAAATTTCTGGGACCTGGTCAAGTAGAAACGCCCGTGGCCGAAAATTTCGGTGAACTGTCCCGAAACTTTCGGTGTGCTGCATCCCGAGGATTCCCCGGGATGGACCGGGCTGCCTAAACAACGGCATTTTCGACACCGCTGATGAAACATAAGTGACACTTATGCTTTCTCGCTGCCCTGTTCTGGTCCAAACGCTGCAAAAACGCTTTGTCCGAAGTGGATACAGCGCGTATCCACTTCGGACATCTCCACACGCATGTCTCAGTCCACACGCATCTGAGGGCCCCCGAAGCCATCCCGAGGATTTACCGGGATGGACCGGGCTGCCCAAACGACGGCATCCAGGCTCGCAAACGGGTGCCCAACCGGATTATGACAAACGACAAAATGTCTCAGTGTCTCAGGGCCCCCCCTCCTCGCTGCCCCCTGTGCAATCCCGAGGAATCCCCGGGATGGACCGGGCTGCCCAAACGACGGCATCCAGGCTCTCAACCGGGTGCCCAATCGGGTGTGATCAAACACCCATCGTGGCCGCAAATTTCGGTGATGGCATCAATAGTTTCATGCGCTGTCTCAGTGTCTCGGCAGCAGCACCACCCCCGAGCCTGAGACACTAGCGTTGTCTCAGCTCGGTTTTCTCGGTGTCCACGGCAGCCTCTACCCGGTTGGGCACCCCCGAGGTTCAGCAGTAGCAGCGACCTGAGACACTGAGACACACTAGTGTAGTCTCAGCTCGGTTGTGTTGTCTCGGCGTCCCCAGCTCGCCCGAGGTTCAGCATGTGCATCGCCGGTCCTTAGATTCAAGGACGGCTGAAGTACATCCAGAGCGTCCTGAGACACACTAGTGTTGTCTCAGCTCGGTTGTTCTCGGCGTCCCACCACGGCAGAGGAGCAGCAGGAGCACAGTGGAGGACAGTTCCCCCCCCTACCCGGTTGGGCACCCCCGAGGTTCAGCAGCAGCGAGACACTAGTGTTGTCTCAGCTCGGTTGCACCACGGGGTGGTCCGAATGGGGGCAGCGACCTTTGTCTCGGCTGTGAGCGCGCCGCGCTGTTCCGTGAAGCGGCAATGTAGGTGAGACCTACATTGAGGCGCTGGCCCGAGGCACCTCTGTGGCAGGCGCTGGCCTGGGAAGCGATACGCAAAACTATTGGTGCTGCCGTGTCTGGGTTGTCGTGTCTCACGGGAGTCCCCAGCACCACCCAACAGCGAGGAGCACCCGGGCACCCGGTTGAGAGCCTCGCCATCCCGGGGAATCCTCGGGATGCAGCACACCGAAAGTTTCACCAATAGTTTCGCGGCTTCCCAGGCCCTGCCACAGAGGTGGTGGACCTCGGGCCAGTGCCTGTCCTCTGCCGTGGTGGGACGCCGAGAACAACCGAGCTGAGACAAATCCTGAACCTCCCAACCGGCTATTCGTCAAATCTGACGAGTGAGTGTTGCAAGGTCGGATTTCCGACCTTGGTATTCTGAGGCCCGGAAGGAGTCAACGCAACCGAGCTGAGACAACGCTAGTGTCTCAGGTGCTCCGCTGAACTCGGGGGTGGTGGTGCTGACAGCCCTGTGCAATCCCGAGGATTCGGATGGACCGGGCTGCCCGAACAACGGCATCCAGGCTCGCAAACGGGTGCGCAATCGGGTGTGTACAAACGGACACACTCATCGTGGCCGCTAATTTCGGTGATTTGTCCCGAAACTTTCGGTGTGCTGCATCCCGAGGATTCCCCGGGATGGGCTCTCAGGTGCTCCTCGCTGTTAAGGACCGGCGATGCACATGCTGAACCTCGGGCGAGCTGGGGACGCCGAGACAACACAACCGAGCTGAGACAACACTAGTGTGTCTCAGTGTTTCAGGTCGCTGCTACTGCCTCGGGGGTGCCCAACCGGCGGGGGAGCTGCCGTGGGACGCCGAGAACAACCGAGCTGAGACAACACCAGTGTCTCAGTGTCTCAGGTCGCTGCTGCTGCTGAACCTCGGGGGTGCCCAACCGGCGGGGAAGAGGTCAGGGTAACTGTCCTCCGGGGGGACAGTTTCGGTAGAAAATTTCCCGCTGTGCTCCTGCTCTGTCTCCTCTGCCGTGGTGCTCTCTCTCTCTTAGAGAGGAGTGTCCCCGCACCCCTACATTACAGGATCGGAGATTGAAGTTTCGAGTATACAGTCCCAGGACGAAACGGGATTCTATTCCACTTTCGACCCTCTCAGTAGCTCATCTGTGCCCCGATTTCCCGCCCCGAAATTTGCGGAGTAGGAGGAATCGCATCACAGTGCAGTTCTGGGCTGCGGACCTGTGGAGTGCCACCCCTTCTTCTCCCCTTGGCTCCCCTTGGCTTGGGGCTGGGGGCTGGGGTTGGCTTTCTTTTCTGCCCTGCTTCTCTGGCTTGGCTTGGGGGCTGGGGGCTGGGGGCTGGGGCTGGGGGCTGGGGCTGGGGCTGGGTTTTTTTGGGGCTGGGGTGGGCTTGGGGCTGGGGCTGGGTTTTTTTGGGGCTGGGGTTGGGGTGGGCTTGGGGCTGGGGCTGGGCTTGGGGCTGGGGCTGGGGCTGGGTTTTTTTGGGGCTGGGGTGGGCTTGGGGCTGGGGTGGGGCTGGGTTTTTTTGGGGCTGGGGCTGGGGTGGGCTTGGGGCTGGGGTGGGGCTGGTTTTTTTTGGGGCTGGGGCTGGGGTGGGCTTGGGGCTGGGGTGGGGCTGGGTTTTTTTTTTCTCTTCCCTGTTCCCCTTGTGGCACTCCACAGGTCCGCAGCCCAGAACTGCACTGTGATGCGATTCCGAATACGAGCAAATTTCGGGGCGGGAAATCGGGGCACAGATGAGCTACTGAGAGGGTCGAAAGTGGAATATAATCCCGTTTCGTCCTGGGACTGTATACTCGAAACTTCAATCTCCGATCCTCTCAGCTGTAATGTAGGGGTGCGGGGACACTCCTCTCTAAGAGAGAGGAAGTTTGTTCTGTAAGTACTGCTATTTGACCTCGAAGGAGGAACCCCGTACAAAGATGTGCGGCTGGGGTAATCATACCTGCACCAGCGTTGCAGAAGCTGGAGAGCTGGAGAACGCGAAGAGCAGCGACTGGAAGAGGAAAAGAAAGGGGACAAGAATGTTCCAAAAGCTCCGAACCCCAAGTGGGGAAATGAACCCAAGACGACCAAGCGGAAAGCCGAAGATGCACTGCCAGAAGCAAAGGCAAAGGCGAAGTGGGGAGGAGCGTATGTCACAGAGGTTGGGAGAAAGTGAAAAGAAGAACGACGAGAAGATCGACCTCGAAGAGAAGGATCCGGAAGGATTTCCAAAGGAAGAGCTTGAAGAAGCAAGGAAGCGAAGTGAAGTGGAAAAGGCCATGAAGGCGAAGGCCAAGGCATCGAAGGAAGCTACTGGAAAGAAGCGAGGATCAAAGGATGCCAAGAAGAAAGAGAAGAAAGAGAAGAAGGAGAAAGGACCAAAGAATGACAAGAAGTGGGGTTTAGGCTGTAGTGTTGACGTGGAACGCAGAGGCATGCCTCGGCGTTGTTTTTCTTCTGGGTGTTGCTTTTTTCGTGAGTTCACATGGACATGCCAGAGGCCTGTATGTCCCGCCCTGGGTGTCTTTTCTTCGTGGCCACATGGACATGCCAGAGGCCTGTTTGTCACGCCCTGCAGGCCTGTATGTCACACCATGGGTGTGGTTTTTTCGTGAGTTCACATGGACATGCCAGAGGCTTGTATGTCACCCTTGGTGTTGTTCCTTTCGTGCATTTACATGGACATGCCAGAGGTCACGCCCTGGGTGTTGTTCTTCTTCGTGAGTTCACGGAGATGCCAGAGGCCTCTATCTCACACCCTACATGGACATGCCAGAAACCTGTTTGTCACGCCCTGGGTGTTGTTTCCTTCGTGTGTTCACATGGGTATGTCACGCGGACATGGCAGACAGGCTGTATGTCACGGCGTGGGTGTTGTTGTCTTCGTGAGTCCATGGACATGTGAAAGAGATTACCTGGACATGCTTAAGGCCTGTGTGTGCCGCCCTGGGTGTTGTTTTCTTCGTGAGTTCACATGGACATGCCAGCTGGGTGTTGTTTTCTTCGTGACTTGCCAGAGGAGTGTATGTCATGCCTTGTGTGTTGTTTTTGGTGGGTTCACATGGACATGCCAGAGGCTCGTATGTCAACCCTGGGTGTTTTTTCTATATGAGTTGACATGACATGTCTATGTCACGCCCTGGGTTTTGTTTTTTCACAAAAACATGCCAGAGGCTCGTATCACATTCCAGAGGCTCGTTTTTTCACGTTTTGGGTGGTTTTTTTTCGTGAGTTCACATGGACATGTAGAGGCCTGTATGTCACGGCCAGGGTATTGTTTTCTGAGTTCACATGGACATTCCAGAGGCCTGTACGTCACGCCTGGGTGTTGTTTTCTTCGTGAGTTCACATGGACATGGCAGAGGCCTGTATGTCACGCCCTGGGTGTTGAACATCACGGCCTGTGTTGTTCTTCTCGTGGCGTCATGCGTTTGTTGGGGCCCTGGTGTTCCACGGGGCATTCCGCGGCGTTCCGAATCCATCAAGCTAAGGGGGAACGCCACAGGACGCGCCAAGAAAATCAAAACCCAGGGCGCGACATGCAAGCCTCTGGCATGTCCACGTAGATCAACAACACATTTGGACTCACGAAGAAAAACAAAAACCAGGGCGTGACATACAGGCCTCTGACATTTCCAGGTGAACTCGAAGAACACGGCATGTCCATGTGAACTCATGAAGAAAACAACACCCAGGGCGTGACACAAAAGCCTCTGGCATGTCCATGTGAACTCACGAAAAAACAACACCCAGGGCGTGACCTGCAAGCCTCCGGCATGTCCATGCGAATTCACGGAAAAAGACAAGACACAGGGCTTCACATGCAAGCAAACTCTGGCATGTCCGAGTGAACGCGTGACATACAAGTTTCATGTCCATGATCCATGAATTCGCGAAGAAAAAACACCCAGGGCGTGACTCCATGTGACCTCACGAAGAAAACAACACCCAGGGCGTGACATACAGGCCTCTGGCATGTCCACGAAAAAAAACAACACCCAGGGCGTGACATAACGAAGAAAACAGCACCAGGGTGACATACAGGCCTTTGGCATGTCTATGTGAACTCACGAAGAAAACAACACCCGGGGCGCGACATACAGTCCTCTGGCATGTCCATGTGAACTCAGGAAGAAAACAACCACCCAGGGCGTGACATACAGGCCTCTGGCATGTCCATGTGAACTCACGAAAAAAACAACACCCAGGGCGTGACCTGCGAGCCTCTGGCATGTCCGTGTGAATTCACGAAGAGAGACAAGACACAGGGCGTCACATGCAGGCAAACTCTGGCATGTCCGTGTAAACGCGTGACATACGGGTTTCATGTCCATGATCCATGAATTAGCGAAGAAAAAAACACCAAGGGCGTGACTCCCTGTGCACTCACGAAGAAAACAACACCCAGGGTGTGACATACAGGCCTCTGGCATGTCCATGTGCACTCACGAAGAAAACAACACCCAGGGCGTGACATAACGAAGAAAACAACACCCAGGCTGACATACAGGCCTCTGGCATGTCCATGTGAACTCACGAAGAAAACAGCGTGACATACAGGCCTCTGGCATGTCCATGTGAACTCACGAAAAAAACAACAGCCGCGGCGTGACATACAGGCCTCTGGCATCTCCATGTGAACTCACGAAGAAAACAACACCCAGGGCGTGACATACAGGCTTCTGGCATGTCCATGTGAACTCACAAACAACACCCAGGGCGTTACATACAGGCCTCTGGCATGTCTCTGGCATGTCCATTTGAACTCGAAGACAAACAGCATTCAGGACGTGACATACAGGCCTCTGGCATGTCCATGTGAACTCACGAAGAAAAGCATACAGGCCTCAGGCCTGTCCATGTGAACACACGAACAAAAACAACACCCAGGGCGTGACATGCAGGCCTCTGGCATGTCCATGTGAACTCACAAAGCAAAACAACACCCAAGGCGTGTCATACGGGCCTCTGGCATGTCCATGTGAACTCACGAAGAAAAACAACACCCAGGGCGTGACACACAAGCCTCTGGCATGTCCATGTGAACCCACGAAAAAAAACAACCCTAAACCCTAAACCCTAAACCCAAAAAACCCAGGGCGTGACGTACAGGCCTCTGGCATGTACTCACGAAGAAAAACAACACCCAGGGCGTGACAAGGCCTCTGGCATGTCCATGTGAACTCACGAAGAAAACAACACCCAGGGCATGACATACGTCTCAGGCATGTCCATGTGAACTCACGAAGAAAACAACACCCAGGGCGTGACATGCAGGCCTCTGGCATGAACTCACGAAAAAAACAACACCCAGGGCGTGACATACAAGCCTCTGGCATGTCCATGTGAACTCACGAAGAAAACAACACCCAGGGCGTGACACGCAAACCTATGGCATGTCCATGTGAACTCAAGAAGAAAACAACACCCAGGGCGTGACATACAGGCCTCTGGAATGTCCATGTGAACTCACGAAGAAAACAACACCCAGGGCGTGACATACAGGCCTCTGGCATGTCCATGTGAACTCACGAAGAAAACAACACCCAGGGCGTGACATACAGGCCTCTGGCATGTCCATGTGAACTCACGAAGAAAACAACACCCAGGGCGTGACATACCCATGTGAACTCACGAAGAAAACAACACCCAGGGCGCGACATACAGGCCTCTGGCATGTCCGTGTGAACTCACGAAAAAAACAACACCCAGGGCATGACACACAGGCCTCTGGCATGTTCATGAGAACTCACGAAGAAAACAACACCCAGGGCGTGACACACAGGCCTATGGCATGTCCATGTGAACTCACGAAAAAAACAACACCCAGGACGTGACCTGCAAGCCTCTGGCATGTCCGTTTGAATTCACGAAGAAAGACAAGACACAGGGCGTCACATGCAGGCAAACTCTGGCATGTCCGTGTGAACGTGACATACAGGTTTCATGTCCATGATCCATGAATTAGCGAAGAAAAAAAACCAAGGGCGTGACTCCCTGTGCACTCACGAAGAAAACAACACCCAGGGCGTGACATACAAGCCTCTGGCATGTCCATGTGCACTCACGAAGAAAACAACACCCAGGGCGTGACATAACGAAGAAAACAACACCCAGGGTGACATACAGGCCTTTGGCATGTCCATGTGAACTCACGAAGAAAACAGCGTGACATACAGGCCTCTGGCATGTCCATGTGAACTCACGAAAAAAACAACACCCGCGGCGTGACATACAGGCCTCTGGCATCTCCATGTGAACTCACGAAGAAAACAACACCCAGGGCGTGACATACAGGCCTCTGGCATGTCCATGTGAACTCACGAGGCAAACAACACCCAGGGCGTTACATACAGGCTTCTGGCATGTCTCTGGCATGTCCATTTGAACTCGAAGACAAACAGCATTCAGGGCGTGACATACAGGCCTCTGGCATGTCCATGTGAACTCACGAAGAAAAGCATACAGGCCTCTGGCCTGTCCATGTGAACACACGAACAAAAACAACACCCAGGGCGTGACATGCAGGCCTCTGGCATGTCCATGTGAACTCACAAAGCAAAACAACACCCAGGGCGTATCATACGGGCCTTTGGCATGTCCATGTGAACTCACGAAGAAAAACAACACCCAGGGCGTGACATACAAGCCTCTGGCATGTCCATGTGAACCCACGAAGAAAAACAACCCTAAACCTTAAAAACCCAGGGCGTGACATACAGGCCTCTGGTCTGGCCTGTCCATGTGAACTCACGAAGAAAACAACACCCAGGGCATGACATACGTCTCAGGCATGTCCATGTGAACTCACGAAGAAAACAACACAGGGCGTGACACGCAGGCCTCTGGCATGTCCATGTGAACTCACGAAGAAAACAACACCCAGGGCGTGACATACAAGCCTCTGGCATGTCCATGTGAACTCACGAAGAAAACAACACCCAGGGCGTGTGTCCATGTGAACTCAAGAAGAAAACAACACCCAGGGCGTGACATACAGGCCTCTGGAATGTCCATGTGAACTCACGAAGAAAACAACACCCAGGGCGTGACATACAGGCCTCTGGCATGTCCATGTGAACTCACGAAGAAAACAACACCCAGGGCGTGACATACAGGCCTCTGGCATGTCCATGTGAACTCACAAAGAAAACAACACCCAGGGCGTGACATACCCATGTGAACTCACGAAGAAAACAACACCCAGGGCGTGACATACAGGCCTCTGGCATGTCCGTGTGAACTCACGAAGAAAACAACACCCAGGGCATGACACACAGGCCTCTGGCATGTTCATGTGAACTCACGAAGAAAACAACACCCAGGGCGTGAGACTTCTCCGCATGGTCGAGGGACGGGTTTTACCGCACCTCTCAAGGCGCAAATGCATGGGAAATGGTAGCCAACACATAGGCATCGATGCCAGTGTTGCGGGCAGGTGTGTGCGCGTGCCATCCCAAACCCTCAAGAACTCACGCAGGATGGCCGGGCTGGCTTCGTGAGCGGCGCCCGCGGACACGGGGGCGGTTTGCTTCAGCATTGGCTAGACTTTTGTGCCTGAAAGTCTTGAGGGCCTTGTGGATTGCACCGATGCCCCAAAAGCTTTGGGACTGCT